TGCTATACGCTTTTCCTTTTTTAATATCCTACGCAACGTCTTTCATGATATTAGCTATACGATTATTTGTAATACCGAAAAATTTAGTGCTACATGCAGCTTATTGTTATAGTAATTTCCAAAGGAAAGCTAATTCCACCTACTTTTTTAATACGTATTATCCATACAATAATTATATGGGATCCTTAATAAAGTCAAAGATGTAAATCACGCTTGAGATTTTACATGGACTATGCAAAAAACGAATTCGTTTTTTGCTTAATTGCGCAATACAGAGTATACAATATAACACTGGGTATGCGATATACTATTTAAATCAAACATATATATAGTCGCATATGAAAAAGATATAATGAAGATTTTCGTGTAACCTAAAGATCAATATTTTAAACTCCGTAAATATTATAGTATCAAGATATTTTTATTAGCATTATGATAAAATTTGCTTAAAAATGCAACTTATCGCTCAATTTTAGAGATAGAGTTGTAAAATTTATATAAAACTCTTGTCAATAGATTACTTAATAATATAAAAGAGCGAATTTCTAAAATTTATCACTGAAATGACAATTAACCATTAAATGTTATAAATAAATACTGTAGTACTGCGCTTGCATTAAAAGTAAAGCAGTATATTGTTTTTAAAAAAGCTCTCTTTTATTTTAAAGTTTACAATGAGTTGTTTATATTTATGTAAAATTTTGTGTAAGTTAAATATGCCAAACACGGGTTTATAGAATTTAATGTTTTATAAGAAAACATTACTAAGTAGACCGATTTTCTTTGTACTACATAAAATCATCAGATAGTAATATTAATAATATACTCACTATATCGCATACCCTAATATAACACTTTAAAAGCATTGACAAATATGGTTGTAAATTTTAATGCAACTTACAAATGTAACTTACAAGCAATTTTTACATGTTTACTTAGTTGAAATTTAAAATTATTTAACCTATTTCGTTATGTAAGCTATAGCGTAAATTTACAACCCTATTGATAGCTATGCACAAAATCACATGAGTATAAATGTACGTATATGTTATGCTTGATGTTAGCATCTGCTTGAAATTGCAACTTAAATCACCTGAAATTGCACTTGCGTAAAGCTACTAACTAAGAGCATTTGAGGAGAACTACCACTCAAAAATTTCGCTAGCCGGTCAATTTTCAAGATCAAGTGTATCGTAAAGGAAACAACCTTCTGCGCATTAATAAAAAGTTTTCCTTGTGAGTTTTTGGCATTAATAAACTCTTTCTAATCTAATATAATAGTGAAACCTGACTATAATCTAACAGCGGAAAATTTTTAGCGAAAATTTTAACTAATTTCGGGGGAAGTACTAACGCTAATATAGAACTATACCGTATACTGATTAGGAAAATCATACAAATATTCCGATACACATATCGATATATATATATTTCTGAGTTTGGTAATTTGTATAGCTGTACTTCAAATGACGTTCTTTTTACGCATGTACAGTCGAAAACAAAGCATTTTAGAAATCTCAAAAAAAAAATAAATTTCGCAATAAAATCAAATCGAGTTAATATTTGTTATACTGGTACTAATATAGGGCTTTGATATTTTATGCAGAGTACTACGAAAAAAGTATTTAAGAAGGCTTATCTCATCCAAAAGTTAAATTTTATTATTTCAAATTAAACCATTATCTTTAACGAATAAAAGCTTTACAGAACTTCATAACCTGTCCGTCTTATTATTATGCTTGGATAAATGAAATGATATAAGATATAGATAAAAATGAATTAATGACGCTATGTCTTCCTATTTTAATAATATCTATATATTAATTCTCTAGAGATCATGTAATGTTGGCAACCCTTGGATAATTGTAACATATACGCGTATGCCATTTTATTTCTTACCTTAAAGCTCATCGTTTAATGGTGGGCATTAACACCTAGTATGGTTTAAAGTTTGCCATGATTTCCAAAGATAATAATAACTTTATCAATTCACCAGATACACGTCACCCTGGTTATATAGACATTTTTGAGACATTAGTAAAAAAATTCAAAATGTCGGTACAGTGAGTTATTCCGACATTTTATATTAAATTTTTGAAAAAAAATGTCGGTATAGAAAGATTTTACATGATGTCCTTATATCCAGATGTCGGTATTACCAGAGTGATGTGTATAATAAAATAATAAATTTGAATTTTTAAACGTTATAATTAAAGCGCAGTAACTTGCAAGATTGTAGATTGATATTATAATTTAAAGAATTAAAAGCAAAAAGCTTCAAATCATAAGTCGAATTCTACAATCACAGGGTTTAAATGAAACTTCTAAATCATCATAGGATAAATGTTCAATACTCGCTATACTAGTTTAATCAACAAATACTTTCTACATCGACATAATATAATTTATCAAAGGTAACTAAAATCCTTTACTTAATATTTATCTAATATCTGATTAACTATTGTCATAGAGTGACAGTATGCATACTAATATCAAATCTCTTTATTTATCGGTTGGTTGAAGGTGTTCTCAAGCACCTTGTTCAATAGATCGAGCTTGAATAAACTAACCAAGTGAGTTATTATTTCGATGAGTAAAAGCTGAAGCTTAGACTCGAGATGGGCAAGGTAATTACTTATTACGTAAAAAATTAAATCACAACGTGACAATTTAATATGTAAATTTTTACATAATAAGTAATTACCTTGCCCATCTCTAGTTAAGACCATCTTTTTTTCATAGAGTTGCTCTGATTAGCCAAAGTTCAAAAACTGTATTTCACACAACGAATTTTTAACACGTCGTTCTTGAGCAACATCTCTATGTTAATCATTGATTTGAAACTTAAATCAAGTTACGAGTTCATTCGAGTGCTGTCAAGAGAAAATATGTCATCGGGGATTTCAAGTTTATTACTTACCAGACTCAACCTACCTGATTTGTTAGAGTTTTTGTCCGGCACAAAATATGATTAAAAGCCCGATGACAGGTTTTCTATTGACGGCTCTCATTCATGAAATAATCATTTAGTTTGAAGCTTAAGAACTTTATTTATTCCAGTATCATATTAATTGTTTAAAAAAAAAAACCAACAAAAATGATATATAGTGAAAAAAATCCTAAAATAATGAGTATACACTTAATTTACATGTATGTAATTGTTTATGAAATAATAATTTCATTTAAAATTTAATAAAAAAAAATTTAATTGTTATGGTTTTTTTCAATTTTTTCAAGCCTTTCATTGAGATCATGTAACATATTGATGATCAGTTCTTCATAATTATTACGCGCATTTAAGATTTCGAAGATCTTGTCTGGTTTGTTAGGATAATTTTCGGTGGGTTCAGGGCTATATAAACCAGGTTCTTCCGAAAAAACTTCAGTGCTAATTGGATCAGGAAACCTATCCGAATTATTGCCAGAACTAGTTGGCCCTTAAATTTATTAATGTTATTCTATTAGAATGCATGAAATTTATTGACAATTGAATTCCAAGAATAACAAATGTTACCATTTTCATGTCCAGCATTTTTGGAGCTTTTTTTTTTATTTTCTCTTTCTTTTATTTCGTCATAGGATTCTTTAGTAAATCCTTTAGTAAACTGGATTGGATTGGATTTGGATTTCTTGGGCATTTTAAAATTGTGAAAAAAAAAAATCAACGTTTTTTTTCAAAAATAAATTTTTTTTTTTCTATTTTATATTTATTTTTTTAATTTTTTTTTTTTTTTGAATCCTATCTTGCTTCGGATTAAATGTCGTATGTATTTATATAAAATTGAATTCCAACTGTGCAATACTGTATATTAATCCTCTTGATTCCCTTCAAACTAGGAAATTTCACATTTGGAAATTGCCTAAAAAGATAATCGCGTGCAGTAGATCGATTAAACTTATTTGCTTTAAATCATTATCAGTTTTTGTAATAATCCTTGAAAGATATGTGTACGTCTTAAGAAAATATTTACGAATTAAGAAATTTATGATCATTGTTTCACATAACTGTATATTTCAGTATTTTTAAGATTACTTGTTTCTTCTATAAGTAATTCTCACCGCCAATTGGCAGTTTTACCAGTTATATTAAAAACGTAGATTGCATTTATATTGACATGTATAATGACCGAATGTTCTAGGCTATTTCGATATATATAATATATTTATTTTATTTAATTGTATATACCGATATATAATAAACTATTTCAAAAACATAATTTAGATGATTAATATAGCCTTATTTTGGAAATTGTACAGATTGTACGTACACAAGAGCCAATTGGGAATTTACTTATTTGTGCGAGTAAAGTACGTGAAGATAGAAATTTAGAACTAGGACATTAGCATAGGAATAAAAATATTACTTCATATATTAAAATTTCATTCCCGTCATCTTTAATTAATGCACCAAGGTCGATTTAAACATTAGTTTTCGAGTATTTGCTTTTTTCTTTTTCTCTTCATGTGCCTCTAAGTCGGGATAATCCAAAAATTTGTGGCTGTTTCCTTTTAAGATTTTGTATTAAGTGGCTAATTGGTCATACAAACATGTACGCATGTAAAACTTCCTATTCTATACAGACCTTTTTTTGTCGCGGAATCATAAATATAATACTGTCATAAATAAAAATGTATTGTTCCGTATGACTTAAGAGAATAGTATCTGCATAGATTTGCTACAAGATATTCATAAGTACGTAATTGTATCTAAAAATGTAAAGAATATACATAATAGGTATCTATACATAACAAGTAATCGTACAAATAATAGCAAAATAGTAGTAAAGTTGTACGTACGTACAATTATTTTTATACACTGCGAGATACTTAATGAGATATTATAACGATCCATAATCTTAATACGTATTTAGTATACATATGAAAAAAATGAGTTTTACGTACGTATATGTATAATATCACGGAAATTATTACAAATTAGAACTTATACAAGTGATACGAACCAAGTGAAACAATAAACATTGATTTTATTGGCTTGTTTGTATTATTATCCATAAAATTAGAGCAAAAACGGTAGGCAAAATTTTAGATTACTAAAAAAATCAAGTTGGGTATGATCTAGAGTTGTTGGTGAAACTAAATTGAGCTGGTGAAACTGGTGACTATCTAAAATCTGATTGGCTATTGGAGTAAACAGCCAATCAGATTTTAGATAGTCACCAGCTTCACCAGCTCAATTTAGTTTCACCAACAATCTAGTATGATCACGATTTTGTTATTAATGAAAAAAAGAGTCTTCATACAATTGCTCGCATATTAATCGGCTAGGAGGCATTTTTCAACCAAGTGATACTCAACTATCACAATTAATGACGGCTGAAGCTTCAATTTCAGTTGCTTCACCTCCTTCATTTAATTATTTTACAATTTAAAATTTTGTTGTAACTTAATTACCCGCTAAATAAGGAAAACATCTACCCAAAACCTTTTATTTTGAACCTTCTTTGCTGAAAAGCTTTTAATTTTAAATAAGTTAAAAATAGATTAACAGTTTGGTTAATTGTTAAAAGATAGGCTGTATTACTGCATTCATATTACGGTATCGATTATTTATTTAAAAAGCTCCTAACATTAAAAGTAAAAATATTTTTTTCGTTAATTATTATTCAATGGGTAAAAAATGTAAAATATTGCTTGAGCACCCTGGGACACTTAAACCTAGTGATCATCACATCATGTGAAATCATGAAATGACGTCATTTGTTTATTAGCACTAATAGATTTGGCCTAAACTATACTATCACCTAACCCTAACTTAGGCCGAGTATTTAATCACGTGATGGATGATCACTCTTCTTGAAACTACCCTAGAATCGAAATAATCGAATTTGGTTATGTAGTCACTGAGAAATGGTTATTTAAAGTTTAAAAAAATTTGCCGAGCTTCTTTTTTATAGGTACTAAATTTTATTTTCTCGATGGATATCTAACCAAATTCATGATTTTTTTATTTTAATTATATAGAATTTGGTTAGATATTCATCGAGAACACTTCGCTTAAAGTTTTAGTGCGTATATAAAAGAAGCTGCGGCAAAATTTTTTTTAAACCTTAACAGTTAAATAAATATTTCTCAGTGACTAAATAACCAAATTCGATAATTTTTTTTATTTCGATTCTACAAACACGCAGAATTATAATAAAAAAATTTCATCGAATTTGATCATGTTTCACCGAGAAATCTTAGTTTAAAGTTAAAAAGGAATTTATTCTTCTTTTTAAAATTTTTTATAAGCTTTAACCTGAAATTTCTCGATCAAGACATTATTAAATTTATCGTTCTTTTTTTATTTTAATTCTATGTGTTTGTAGAATCGAAATAAAAAATTATCAAAGTTGGTTATGTAGTTACCGAGAAATTTATTTATTTAAAGTTTAAAAAAAATTTGCCGCAGCTTTTTTTTTATGGATACTGTGAAGGTTTTCGATGAATATCTAACCAAATTCTACGAAATTTTCTTATTTTAATTTTATAATCTTATATTATTAAAATAAAAAAATTTTCATTGAATTTGGTTTGATATTCATCAAGAAAACTTTGCTTAAAGTTTTAGTATCAATAAAAAAGAAACTGCAGCAAAATTTTTTTAAATAATAAACATAGGCCAAGTGCTTAATCATGTGATGTGATGATCAAGGAAATATCACTGAATTCAGTGTTCTTTAAGTTTTTAAGCGAAGTTTCCTCAACAACTATCTAACTAAATCCGATAAAAATTTTTTTATTTTAATTCTATTAACTTATAGAATTAAAAAAAAAATCGCTGAAATTAGTTAAGCATTCATCGAAAAATATTGGCTTAGTTTTAAAAACCTCTAAATTTTAAAAGAATTTTCACAGTCGATTATCCTGACTCGGAATTTTTGGGATCCCTGTAAAAAATCGTGTTGGACATCATGTCTAGTAGTAATTTTTGTCCAATCATAGATTGTGTTACGTGTATCCAGACTAGTAGTAAAGTTTTACCCAATCATAGTTAGAAAGCGGATCACGTGCGGGACATCCGGACATTTTGAGTTTTACCAATCATAGTTTAGCAAATAGATCATGTGTGGAACATCCGGGCATAGCGATCAAATTGAATGTAAGTTCTTCGTTACGTTCCGGACAAAAATGCACAGATGCAGTAATTTTATCACTTTTTTATTATAAAGACTACACTTGTTAACTAACAAAATTCACAAATATAAGACATTTTTATAAAGACTACACTTGTTAACTAACAAAATTCACAAATATAAGACATTTTTAATATACAATAATAAAGATTTCTTTCTAACAAAATCATTTATGTACTTAGTTGTGATTGAAGATTTTATGTTAGCGACAGAGAGATAAAAAAGCATATTTGAACACATAAATCAGCAATATAACTTAATGTATAATTAGTTATTGTTAATTGGGCTGGAGCGGTGTGGAAGACCTTATAGCCGTTCACTTAGAAATTTTATCGATGTCCCGCTCTCCCTACAATTATGATAAATTAATAGTTCGATACATTAAAAATTTATAATAAAAAGCAAAAGCACAAAAGAATTTATACGCTTAAGCAAAAGACCGTAAGAAATGATGCCAGAGAATATTAGCCTCAATGAAAGTTAATCTATCGAAATAATGATTAACAAAAAAGCAAAATCAGAACAAACAGTAAAATTCTATTAATTAAGGAAATTGCAAACCATGAACAGACAAATAATCTTATGGCTAAACATAATATTTACTACATTCTCATTACTGTATAAAATCGTAATTTTATTGAAACTTTACTTTTTTAGAAAATTAAAATATTTCGTCTGCCAGCTTTCCGACAATTATTATAATCTTCTAAAAAGTTTTGCAATACAGTCATAAATTGCAAGGCTTAATATTATCACAAAGGAATATGCTATAGGTCTTTCATTTGTTGTTATCTCAAGAATTCGTGCTCTTGTTGACCTTCATTTCAATAGTACTCTTATAATAAGTTACAAAAATTGGGAGAAAGTATACCTTTACAACAAAGATTAGCTGAAAAGCAATGATTATTTCTTTATGACTTTATGAATGAACAATTGAATAAACTTTTTAAATAAACTATTATGTCTTTAATTATGACTATATGAATTATTTATGTTTGTTCACTACGTGTTAATGTAAATTTATAAATATGTTGCTTATATTAATGAATTGGATTTTATTAAATTATTTTGATATATTAGATAAGCTACAGTATTAATTTACAGTTTTTTTAAAAAAATTAAAATCCAATAATTAAGGCTCCAGCCCTATAAACACCGCCATTTTATTACTACAATATTGTAAAAAGTACGCCTATTTGGCGTTCCAGGTCAGGTGAATAATACCGGGGAATATATATCTATATATTTTTTAAAAAAAGATTGCTCTGAAATATTATATTTGACGAGTAACAAATTAATAATATCGCAGTCAAAAAAATTTAATGAATTTCAGTTTATATAATGCACCAGATTTTAATAAACGGCTGTAAATTACGTACCGTAAATCGCCGGATAC